TTCGTCTTCGGTCTCCTGACAGCCTCCCACCCTCCTGGCAGCACCGGGGCACGAGGCCGTTGACTCGGCGGCGAGCGAGGGGGGGAGTGAGAAGGAGAAAGCCCTCTCCGAGGGCTCAGAAGTCCCCAGGCCTTCTGAGAAGTTTTCTGAGCCTTCCCCGAAGGCACAGAAAGCTTCTCAGAAGGCGCGAGCGAGGGTTTCTGAGAGTCCCGCCGCCCTCTGAGAAGGCCTTCTCCTTTTCATGTCCCCCCTCGCTTGCCGCCGAGCTAACGGGTGACAGTGAAAACACATGCCAAGAAACACCCTGTTTCCCTCCAGGGTGCCCTGGGCTTCTTGGGCTTCGGTGATCTTGCTGATCATGGAAAGCGTCACGCCCATAGAAAAAGCAATGGACGTCCTGGGGTCTCAGGGTTGGGTTTCTTGCGGAAGGTTTCTTGTGGCCGAGCTCCTATTGTATGGCGCAGCGCCCAACAGGCCCTCTTCCGCGTCCTGCGGGCTGCGGTCGGGCTCGGTGCGAACTGGCGTCCTCCTTCAGGAGGAGGAGGAGGAGGAGCAGGAGGAGGGGGAGGAGGAGGAGGAGGACGACGACGAGGAGGACGAGGCGGAGGACGGGGCGCGCGCGGGCCCGGGCAGCACCGGAGCGCGTGCGGGCGCGCCGCAGCGCGGGCGCGGTGGCAGCGGCGGCCCGCGAGTCGCGTGGCGCCTGGGGCCTCGGCCCCCTTCGGCCTCGGCCTTCTCGGGAGAGCTCGCCGACGCGGCGGGGTCGGTTCGCCGGGGCAGCCCTGATGGGCACTCGTCGGAGTCTGGGAGGAGCTTCTCTCAAGCAGTGGCGAAGCGTCCTGGCTCGCCCATAGGCCCACCAGAGAATGGTCTAAGAACCTTTCGTGTTCTGCACGGCATGTCCTCAGAACATTTGAGCGGGTGTCTTTACTGCTCGGGGCCGTCATGGCCCCCGCCGCCCCCCCACCTATGACGTAACGCTCCCCCCCAGTGCGTTCCGGGCACTGCCACCGTGCGCATCGGGATCCGCAAAGGTGTCCGTATAAGAATTCACATAGGAGTCTGGTCCGCATTGAAAATCTCATGGGGATCCGCATAGGGATGCGCATGCGCATCGGAATAGGGATCCGCATAGGGATCTGCGCAAGGATTCGCATAGGGATTCGCATAGGGATTCGCATGGCAATGCGCATGGGCATCCGCATAGGCATCCGCATCGGGATCCGCATCGGGATCCGCAAAAGCATCCGCATAGGGATCCGCGCAGGGATCCGCAGAGGGATCCGCCAAGGGATCGGCATAGGGATTCTTATAGGGACCCGCACTGGGATCCGCATAGGGATCCGAAATTGTGATTTGTTGTTCCCGGTGAGAACTCTTCCTGCTCCTTCTCTTTCTTCTCCTCCTGCTCCTCCTCCTCCTCCTCCTCCTCCCCCTTTCTCCTCCTCCCCCTTCTTCCTCCACGTCGCCATTTTGGGGTCAAACCATTTCGGCGCCAAGAGGTGGCAGAGGCAGCCTGCTTGCGGCCCAGCAGGCCCGTGTGGCGGCGCACCTGCAGGCCGCCCAGCAGGGCCGCGTCGTGGTTCGTGCGCGCAGGTGCTGTGGTGCACGCGGAAGCGCTACCACTTTACCTACCCAACCTCGTCGTCGTCGTCGTCGCCGCTCGTCGCTCGTCGCTCGTCGCTCGTTGCTCGTCGCTCATCGTCGTCGTGCGCGCGGGCGCGGATGTGGTGCCAGAGCCACACGGCGGTGGGGGGGGGGGCGTTACGTCATACAGCCCCCCCCGTTCCCGCCCCCCATGACGCCCGTCATCGCCGAAAATTCAGAAAATGCGCTCTTTCTGGCTGATATTGTCTTGTTTTAGCACGTCGGGTGTATGTTCTAAGAGCATCGTTTGTGTTCTTAGAACACTTTGGGGTTCTATGAACATGCCGCGGTAGGCCTATTAGGAATGTCAGGACGGACGATCCCTGCTCAAGTGTAGGAGAAGGAAAATGTACCCATGCCGCTACCTTTCACTCGTTCTCGCCATGTGGGGCCTCTGGGGAGGCCCTCGTCGCCACTGTTGGGTTCGCCTCGAAGTTCTGGTCAGACCGCACCAAGGGAGAGGTCTTGGGAGTAGCGGTATCGGTGCCTTTTGGGTCTCCCCAGTTTCAGGCATGACAGGCAGGCCTGAGCACACTGTTTGCGGCCGCCCTTACGAACAAGCTTGCGAGCCACCTGGACATCGCGCGTATCCCCGCGCAGGGCTAGCAGCGACCCCCCCATATCCCATGATGAAAAGTACAATCCACCGTGCCTCAGATGGACAACCCATCCATGGTGACATCAACGGTCGTTGACACGCACAGACTAATTGCCTCCGAACAGTTGAGTCTTCCCCTCCAAATTTGGGCAGGGTCAGGCGAGCGATCCGCGTGATAGCTCTTCACAAGGATCTGACCCCGAAGTTTAGGACTTCAGCAGACCAGGTCGGTGGCGCCGCCAGGGGGTGGCGGTGAGAAGACGAGGCTTCGGTCAGAAGATTGTTGGGGGGCCAGGGGGCGTGATTTTTCCAGCGGGGTGGAGATGGCACAAAAGCGGAAGGCCCTGTTCAGGAAGCTGGCCCCCTTGCGGGCTGGTGGAGGGCTGCCCTGCTTCATGGGATGGATGGCCGGGAGAGGAGGGGGTGTCGGTCCGGCCGGGCAGTGTTGCCCATTGGAGGTGGACGGACAGGCAAGAGCGTGACCTGGGCCCGACGTTCGGCGGTTCGCTGGGAGAGGGCGAGGGTGCCAAGAGGGAGGACGTGGTTTGGGGCAGGAGAGAGGTACGGTCAACATGTGATGGAAGTCAGGCCACTTTAGCTGCGGAGGAGGCCTGGGGTGCCGTAGGTCTTTCCATGGGTCCTCCTCTGGCTTCGAGGCGCAGTTGAGGCGCAGTCATGGCAACTCTTTGGCTGGAGGGAGTTCAGGGGGCAAGATCCTGACGGGGATAGGACTGCGAGTGCGTAAGGGGATGGGGGGGGGGTCGGGCAGACTGACAACTTATGAGTGGGCGGGGGCACGACTCCGTCTCGGTCGAGAGTTCGGTGTCGGGGTCGAGGATGGTCACTGTTAGAAGGGCGTCGGGAAAACGACGGGGCGTCGACCCAGCAGAAATCCAATGGATGAGGAGGGTATGTATATATATATATATATATATACATATACATATACATAAAGTAAGACTACAACAGTGCGGCACGAAACTTCGAGACGAGAGGGCTTGTCGACGGGCAGCGAAGCTGATGCGCTGGCCGCACAGATGATGGGGTTGGCTCGTTTGGGCAACGGGGAAGCGCGTGCACATGCGCCTTGTGCGGGGCAGGGTTTTGTCGCCCGGCGTTGGACAATCAGAGTGGGTTTTAATTGACAGATGACAGCGAGGAAGGGGACGACGAGGGATAAGGAACAGGCAGGACGAGCGTGAACGTGGGAGGAATTGGGAGGGGAATGCGAGAGAAGCAGGACAGGGCGGGGATGAAGGGAGAGGAGGAGAGCAGTGGTAGGAGGAGCAAGGAGACAGGAAGGAAGGAAGGAGTGGGGAGAAGGGTCAAGTTAGCCAGGTCGAGCGAGTCAGGGGGCCCCACCTATTCCCAGCCTCCCTCCCGTGACGTAAGAATCAAGTGTGGCACAACCTGGCATTGGGAGTGGAACGCGTTCCCACCTTGCGAACGGAAGGCTCTCGCACGCGACCCCGCTTCCGACGACTTAGGAGGAGGTAAGAGGAGGAGGAGGAGGTGGTTAGGCGGAGGAGGAGGGGAGGAGGAGCAGGAGCAGGAAGCAAGGAGCAGGACGACAAGAGCAGGAGTCAGGACAGGGGGAGGGCTGGGGGGGGGGTTTCTCGAATGAATTTGGAGGGGGGACGACGGGGGGAGGTGGGTGGATGCGGAAGGACCAAGGGAAAGACCGACGGACGACGAGAGACGACCGGTGGCCCCGATTGGCGGACGCCACCGCGCGCCGCCACAGCGACCGGCCGGCGGAGACGGCGGCGACGGCGACGGCGACGGCGACGACGGCGTCGGCGACGGCGACGGCAACGAGTCGACGACAGCAAGCGGAGCCAGAGCGAACGGCGGCCCCTCTCGCCAGGAAGGACAAGAGGCGGCACAAGAAGGGGCGCGCCCCCCCCCCGCATTTGGCGTGAAGCAAACAGGTCCCGAGGGAGACCGGGCCTGGACCTCAGGGCCTCTCCCAGGACAGGCTCTGCATCATTCTCCCCCTCCTCCTCCCCTCCTCCCCCGCCTCCTCCTCCTCCTCTTCCTCCTCCACCTCCTCCTCCACCTCCCGCTTCTCCCGTTACCTCCTCCATCTCCTCCATCCTTCTGCTCCGTGCGTTGTACTGGCGCTCCTCCACTCCTCTCCCTCCCACTCCTCCTCCTCATGTCCTCCTCCTCCTCCTCCTCCTCCTCCTCCTCCTCATCCCTCCTCATTCCTCCTCCTCCCCCACCCCTTTCCCAGGGCCGACTCCGCATCCCGGGCCGCTCCCTGACGGCCCTGGGCCCGTGGAGGGCCCCAAGGAGCCCCAGGGAGCCCAGGACTTCTGGGGCCCGCCTCCCTCGGAGCCCGCCCGCCCGCCACGCGCCCCCGCGCTGGGGCTCTGGCCGCGGAGGAGGAGGAGGAGGAGGAGGAGGAGGAGGAGGAGGAGGAGGAGGAGCAGCAGCAGGAGGAGGAGGAGGAGGGAGAAGTAGGAGGAGGAGGAGGTGTTGCTCACTCGTTGAGGCCAGTCCAGGCCTACACAAGAGGGCGCTCACAAGTGCAGGTTGGCGAACGAGCACGTGAGATAACGAGGGGACCAAGAGAACGCACGACGCGGGGAAAGCGTGCAGCATCTTCCCATCCTCGACCAACTGTCTGCCTTCGTTTTTGCTGCTCTTCGAGATGGGGGCGGGGCTGCTGCCCATCCCGCCCCTCCGCTTCCTGCCACCTTCGGCACACCACGGCCTGGCGCGCGGAGCACCGCTCGCGCCGCGAGGCGAAGAGCTTACACCCGCAGCGCACGACGCCTCGCCTTCGCAGATGGCCTGGGCCGCAGAGACCGAGGCGTTGCTCTGCGCTGCTCGGGCCTCGAGGAAGGGTCGGATCCCAGCGGGACTCCTGAGATCCCAACAGAACTGGGTGAGATCCCACCGGGTAAAAAACCCAGAACGGGTGAGATCCCAACGAACCTTGTTTCAGCTTCCAAGCGCTTGGCAGGCGACTCCTAGGCGACTCCTGGGCGCCCCCATGGGCTTCTGGAAGGATTCCTGCGGGTTCCCCCCCGGATTCCTTAGCATCCCTGAGAGTGCGGATGTATTCCTGAGGGTTCCTAGGTCGACGGTCCCCCTTCTGGGCGGGCCCACCACGACGGCAGGTTTCCGTCGCCTCGACCGGCGGCGACCCCGCCGCCAGCGTTCGAGGTTGACCGCTGCCAGGGGCCCGGACTCGTCCAGTATGGAACTATCTGTCGTTCGAAGAGCAGCCGATCGTTCAAGGTCGATCAATCATCGCTGTGTCAGAAATCAACCCATCATTAGGCGCTCCGTGGGAAGCCGAATTTGGTTCATGGAAACATGATGCCTCGTTCCTTATCTTGGGCTCCTTGTGACAGCGTCTCGACTGCCAGACGACATGCAAATTCCGCCGCGATGCGCGTGGGGGGGAGAGGAGGAAGGCCCGGCGCACGCACACACACACACAAACACACACACACACACGCACACACGCACACACACACACACACACACACACACACGCACACGCACACGCACACACGCACACACGCACACACGCACACACGCACGCACGCACGCACGCACGCACGCACGCACGCACGCACGCACGCACGCACACACACACACACACACACACCAGGCGTCACGCACCCAGCCGAGGGCACACGCCCCCCCAGACATAGAGAAGGGGTGGAGACCCGCTCCGCCCGAGGCCCGCCTCGCCCGAGGCCCACCCCGTCCGCTCTGTGAGGAAAGCCGCCCCGCCGCCCGTCGGGGGCCGCCCGCCCGGCCCGCCCGGGGGGCTCCGCCCGCCCGATCCGCCCCGCCCCCAGCGGGGTGACGTTCGCCACGAGCAGAGTGGCCGTGTCAGGCTGCCTCGGCCGTGGGCCAGGGCGCTGCGCCTCCCCGACCCTGATCCCTCTCCAAGGGCCCAGCAGCCTGGAATCCCAGAAGGGCCGGAATAGCGCCAGCAGCACCGCGGCGCATCCGCAGCTGCGCGTGCCGGCTCGAGGATGCATCGCGCTCTATGCTGGCCCGCCCGCCTGGCCCCACTCGCCCGTCAGGGTCCGCCCGCCGGGCCCGCCGGTCGGGGTCCGCCCGGCCCGGCCCAGCCCGACCGGGTCCGTCGCCCGCCCGGCCCGACCCGCCCCAGCGAAGTTGGCCTCCGGCGAAGCGGGCCGTGGCGAAGCGGGACGGGGCGAAGCGGGCCTCTGGCGAAGCGGGCCTCTGGCGAGGCGGGTCGGGGCGAAGCGGGCCTCCGGCGAAGCGGGCGCATGCCACGACAGGTGCCCCCAGATTGCAGGTGCACGGTGCCCGCCCCAAGCGCTCCCTTTTGCCGAGTACGGGTGTCCCCCCCGGAATGGCCGAGGGCCGTCGGAGAGGAAGGCGAGGACCTCGGGCGTGTGGATGCCATAGTTGGGGCCATGAAGTCGCCCAGGTTTCGCGGCCCTTCTCTTAAGGCTCGCTGAGGGGGCAGCGAGCGCGATCTGTGCTTCTGGGGCGACGGAGGATGGGGCATTGCTCGCACGGTGAGGGCAAACCTAGCTTCTTGCGAAGGAAAGCTGTACGGACTGCTATTGACGGATCGAGCGCGCCGGCCGAGCGTATTGGAATCTGCCCTTGGCAACCGCGCTGCCCCCCTGGCGACCTCCAACCCTTCTCTTAGGATGCAGCTCCTGGGAGGTCACATTCTGATTTTTCCCTGGTCCGAAATCTGGCTTGATCCCGCTTAATCCGGCTTACTCCCGCTAAATCCGTTCCAATCCCGCTGAAGTCCCGGCCAAACCCGGCGTAACAGCCCCCCCATTGGGGTTTGATCCTCCGTAATGCTTCCGACGAAGACCTCCTAGCAGTTGGCTCCTAAGGTTAGGTCGGGCCTGTCCCTCTACAGGGCATGCAGGCTGTCCGATCGAGTCAATGCTCGGCCCAGAATCGAGCGCGACTCTGTTGAACCTCAAGCCTCACTCTTTGAACCCGAGGGAAAAACGCACAAAGTCCTCTTCGTGCTCGTGAGAAGAATTGTCCGCACTCCCTTCATACCATTCGCTTTCATAATTCTCCCTTGCAAACTTGCGCAGATAGTCGTCCCATCTCACAGCGGGTCGTCCGCGTGATCGTCCAGCCTCAGGACACGTTGCAGGTGGGTGCCAACGCGTCACTCGTGCAGGCCAGCTGTCCGACATCGTGCCAACACGATGAGCCAGCCTGTATTGCCGTCGTAGCATCTGGACGCTCCAGTCTTCCATTGAGTAAGTTGTTAGAGCTGCATTCACTTTCAGCCTCATCCTCCGCATTGTTTCGTCCCACGGTTCACCTTCTATACGAACCCACCCAACGATGTTCTAAGCATCTTCCGCTGAAGCACATCTAATGAGCTCATGTGTGTCCGCGGCATCTAGTGTTCCCCCCTCTACAGGGGGGAATGCTCAAAAATAGTCAACAGAAAGTCTGGGGACGATTTTTCGATATGTTTTGTCAGTGTTTGATCATTGTTTGAATCTGTTTTATTCTTCGTCGAAAATCGGCCTGCAGGAGGACAGGCCCGACCTAATCCTAATCCGTGTCCCCCCTCGTCCGCGCGCGTGCCTTGAGCCCTGACGCGCCGGCCCCCCCACTCTGCATGGCGCCCTCGTCGGCGCACACTTCCGCCTGGCACCCGCCCCACGGGCTGCCGCAATCCCCCCCCCCCCCGGGCTTGCGTTAAGTCGGGCCCGTCCCTCTACATCAAGGGCATACAAAACGCCCCTACCCTGGTTTACGAGGCGCTGTGCGCTGAAACTCCTGTGGGCTGACAGGGTAAACCCTGCGTGATGTGCCGCGTCCTGGCGGCTCTAGGCTTTGGGGATTCCCAGGAGGTTTACAGACCACGCACTTGTAACCCAGGGTAGGGCCGTTTTTTCATCTCTCAACTACAGGAGGAATATCCCAAAATAATACAGAAATAGTCTTGGGACGTTTTTGTTAGTGTGTTTGAATATTTGTGGAGCATTTTTGAAGTATGCTTCTTTTCGCCCAAAATCATTTTCAAAACATACTTTGAAAATATTCGACAAATATTCAAACATACAAAAACGTCCCAATACTATGTTTTGATTATTTGGGGATACTCCCCCTGTAGGGGGACAGGCCCGACCTGAGGTCACAGTCAGCCCGCATCACAATGACGGGCAACCTTCACGAGGGTGCGCTTGCATCCTGCCTCCTCGGCCCATCCTCGGCCACCTTCGTTGGCCGCGCCCCGCTGGAGAAGCCGCGAGATGGCACTCTCATAGGGCCCCCCTGCGTCCTTGTCGCGCATCCTTCGGCCACGGGCCGGCCGCAGAGCCCTCGGCCGCCTCCCCTCCTCGTTCGGCGGGTGCCGAGCCCCTGCGGAGCAGGTTCGCACGGAGCGCTCGGTCTCTTCCTCTGGGCTGCCTCCGCGTCCACGCGGAGTAGGTCCATGCGGAGTGCTCGGTCTCCGTCGGGGCCTGCTCCATCTGGATCTGGTCTCTCCGGACTCGTGCCATCCTCCCCCTCCCCCGCCCGCCCCCAGGACCAGGAGACTGGACCTCGCCACGCTGTTCAATGGCGCCGCCGCGCAGACCTCTCGCGCCGCCCAGCCAGGCCAGAGAGGGGGGGGGGAGGAGGATGAGGAGGACGCAAACGCTTCGGCTTCGTCGCCTGAGCCCGCCCAGCGCGAAAAGGGAGGAGGAGAAGGAGGGCGAACAAAAAGGCGATGTGGTGCATGCGTAGGTTGCTGCATCAGCATGCGTGGTGAGAGCGGGCATTGCGATGTCAACGCGCCTTGTGACCATCGCAGCTGCAAGGCCATGTCGCTACACCCGTGCCAAGAATAGCAACAGGAACAGAAAGAGTAATGGTCGGATGCATGTACGGTTTCGACTCTGACATTGCATCAGTTTTCGATCTCGAGTCGCGTGGTGTGGGTACGGCAGTGGAGGTCTGATTCAAAGCGTGCGAGACTGTTGAGTCCGTGTCGCCACGTAGCAGTTTGACGGAATGCGCTCCCAGGAAAGAAAGGCGGCCCGAAGTTGATTCCGGAACAGAGCTTGCACTCGCGGGCTCCTCCTTGCGGTATTGACTGGCGCTGACCCCAGGGTGCCAGGCTCCAGCAGACAAAGCACAGTGCAGACATCGCACAGAAGAGCCACGCAAAAGCACAGGCGATGACACAGGATTCACGTGCAAGCGGCGCGAGGGTGCCAGCTAAGAAAAATATCGAAACGGAATTATACATATGTCTTGGTCCGGGTGTGTTCTCTGTGTGCCCTCTTTTTGATTCATGTTCGGTTTCCCCAGATGACCCAACTGTTTGAGGACTGTATACAATGACTCCAGCGGCGCATCACCAGCCGCTCCCTGGTAGTTTGGCACAGTTTCGCGCAGCGTAGGAATTTCGCGACGTGTCGAGTATTCCAACCAGCCTTGTCCGAGGCCTCTCGGAGTTTGTTGGGCAGTGTCTTCGAGGCCTCTTCAGCGTCCTGGGATCCCTTTCGAGGGCCTCTTGAGGGCCTACGGGAGCTCTTGGGGGCCCTGTTGTGGGTATGGGACGGGGGCCGTCTTGTTCGCGAAGGCTCTTCGGAACTTTCTGGAAAAAAACGTGGCAAAACAACGTCTGGGCGGTCTGGGCGGATCCGGGATGAGGAGGAAGAGGAGGAGGAGGAGGAGGAAGAGGAGGAGGAGGAGGAGGAGGAGGAGGAGGAGGAGGGTGAGGAGGAAGAGGACCAGGGTCAACCCGAGGCGCATCAACGATGCTGCGAGAAATGTTCCTCCCAGGTCCCTTCTTCCCCACAAGAATTTACACTCATTGCCGGAAGTCCCCCGTTGGAAGGCAACCGTCCGAGAAAATACAGCGTTTTCAGATTGCAATGTCGCGAATCATCTATATTGTTGCGTACTGACGGCCCTGCATCATGTCTAAACACCACTCCTGGCACTTCAGCACCGCGAATCAACGTGATTGTTGCGCCCTGACACTCCGAAATTGTGCCTGAGCACCATGTTTGGGACGCCAACCTTAAGAATTCCGTCAAACAAGTGTGAGTTTTTAATGCGGATGTGCGTGGTGTTGGAGCGAGAGCCACATTTTGAAAAGGACATACCCTCCATCCGAGCAGCTCTTGCATTGTACTAAGACGAATGTGCGCGGCCCTACGGCGAGAGGCACATTTTGAAAACCACCTGCCATCCATCCGTGAAGCCCCTGCAACGTTTCAGACGAAATGTACGTTGCGCCAAAGCGAGAGCCACATTATGAATAAGACCCGCCCTCTATCCGTGAATATCCTTGCAAACGTTTCCGACGAACGTGCGCGGCGCTAAGGCGAGAGCCACATCTTGAATACCATCCGCCCTCCATCCGCGAAGTTGCTGCAACATGTTAAGACGAACGCGCGCTGCGCCAAGGCGAGAGCCGCATTTCGAAAAGGACCCTCCCTCCATCCGTTAAACTCTTGCAAGCTTTTCAGACGAATGCGCGCGGCGCTCAGGCGAGAATCATTTGTTGAGAACCACCCGCCATTAATTCGTGAAGCTCTTGCGGACTTTTAATTAGACGAATGTGCGCGGCGCTCAGGCGAGAGGCACACGTTGCAAATGACCCGCCTTCATCCGTTTCAATATTTGGGGCGATAGCGCGCGGCGCCCAGGCGAGAGCCACATTTTCAAAATGAAACGCCCTCCACCCGTGAAGCTCTTGGAAGTATTTAAGACCGGCGTGCGTGGCGCGGATGCGAGGGACACATTTTGAAACGGACCCGCCCTCCATCCGCGAAACCGCTTCATACTGTTAAGACGAATGTGCGCGGCGCTACGGCGAGAGTCACGCTCTGCAAAGGACGCGCCCTCCATTCGCGAAGCTGCTTGAAACTTTTGAGACGAGTGTGCGCGGCGCTGAGGTGAGAGACGCATTTTGAAACGGGCCCGCCCTACATCCGTGAAGTTTCTTCAGGACTGTCAGGCGAGTGCGCGCGGCGCTGCAGCGCGAGCCCCGTTCTGAAAAGGACCCGCCCTCCTTCCGCGAAATGGGTGCACATTCAAAGCTTCAGTATCATCTAGTGGTGGAGATGTCTCAGGCGAAGCGCGCCGCCCGCCCTAGAAACACGTCTCGGGGTGCGACAGGGAGGAGGTGCATAGAAGAGAAAGGAGTGGAGGAGCCTGGGCCGTCTCGGGAGCGTGCGTGGGGCTGTTCTGGGGGCCGTCTTGGGGCGGTTCGGGGGGGGCTTCGTGAGGCTCCCGCACATGTTCTCGAGGTTATCGGAAGCCCGAAGAGCCTCGATCGCAAAGGTCATCGAAATCCCATGCGTTGCTCAACGCAGTTTGCCTCCAGGGGCCTCGCTGGAGGCCTCGTCAAGCGCAGATTGAGAAATTTTGTAAGGGGGGTCTTGCGGTGTCTGAGGGGCATACAATAACTATTGGGGCTGGGCTAGGGGCAGTTTGCGCGCCCGTCCTCTTGCGGCCTTGGGCAGTTTGTGGGGGCCGTCTTGGGGCCGTGAAGCCGCATCCAGGCGCGGGGGAGCCGCGGGGGGGCGCTGGCGAAAGAAATGCCTGGAAGATTTGGACCACGCATTGGTCGTCAGGGGCAACGTTACGCTTCACAGGAGGAATGTTCAAAGATAGTCAAAAGAAGGTCCGGGGACGATTTGTTTACCATGTTTGAGCGCTTTTTGCAACTACCTTTTATTTTTCGTCCGAACTCCGCCTGTAGAGGGGGACATGCCCGACCTAACGTTAGGCTTAGGTGGGAGCGCGTCGATCCCCCAATCGCCCCTTGGTCGGCCTGGTGGCACACACCCCGCCCAGGAGCGTGCCGTTGCGCTCTCTCGGGGGCCTGTCGCCGATTTGTCGGCGAGATATTGCCGATGCCAGCTCGATGTTTCGCCACGCCCCCCTCCTCCTCCTCTCTCCTCCTTCCTCATCCTCCTCCTCCTCCCCCTCCTCCACCCCCTCTCTCATCCTCCTCCTCCCTCCTCCTCCCTCCCTCCTCCCCCCCTCCCTCCCTCCCTCCCCACCCTCCGAGCCGGCCTCCCCGAACGCTCCCCCTCGGGCCGGTTCTGGTCGCACATGTGCAAGCATTAGGTCGTGCGTATCCCCCAACAGGCGGATCTTGGACGAAAAATATTAAGTACACAAAAAGTGCTCAAACACACTCTGGAATAATCAAGAAATCGTCCTCGTGTTATTGTTTGACTATTTTTGAATGTCCTCCTGTAGATGGGCACGCCGGACTTAATGCAAGCAACGATGTCGCGCGGCACGCCACTGCAGGCGGCAGCGGTCCGGTTGGCATAGGCGTCGCCGTTGCCGCCGCCCGCCCTCGCATTGCTTGCACTGTCTGGGTTAGTGGAGTTTGGTTGGCTGTTTGGTTGGCAGGTTGCCGCCTTGGCTGGTTGTCCAGAAGGACGGTTCGTAGATTGGCAGGTTGGGGTCGGTTTGCGAGCGTAGCGCCGCGAAACCAATTGCATTTGTTTTTGGCAACCAGGGAGGGTAAGAGGAAGGGGAGGAGCAGAAGGAGGAGGAGGAGGAGGAGGAGAAGTGAAGGTAGGAGAGAACAGGAAGGAGGAGGAAGAAGGGGGGAGAGAGGGAGGGAGGGAGAGGGGAGTGCCAAGGATAATGGGAGAGGATGAGGAGCAGCAGGAGTAGTGGGATTCTTCCTTTTGCCAAAAGTACAGAAGCCGTGCCGTGGCCTGGCGGTGCCCAAGGCAAAAGGGTTGATTACGCCCATCATTGATGGAAGAACAAACCTTGTGTTGGAGGGATATGGTTACGTCCTTGGGGCCTGGTTCTCCACCTTAAAAGGGCTCTCTTTCTCGGTATCTCCATGGAGCCTTGGGCTCTTGGCGAAGAGGCCCATGTTGTTGGCCCACGCTCGTGTGGTATTGCTTCGATTGTAGTATGCCCACGAGTCCCCTTCCTATCCGTCTCATCCCTCTTTGTTGTCCCTATTGGTTGTTCTGGCTGCGGTCTTCTGGGCATTCCCGCTCACTTTCCCCACGGGGAGGCAGAGAGGGAGGAGGAGAAGGAGGAAGAGGAGGAGGAGGAGGAGGAGGAGGAGGATCAGCAGCAGCAGCAGGAGCAGGAGGAGGAGCAGGAACAGGAGCAGGAGGGAGAGAGGAGGAGGAAGAGGAGAAAGAGCGGGGCGAACTAGGGGCCTGGACCTTGGACCCAGGTCCTTCGAAATCATCGACGTCCGAGAAATTATTCGGGCAGACTGCGCACTGGCTCCCTGGCTCCTCCTCCTCATCCGCCTCCTCCTTCTCCTCTTCTTCCTCCTCTTCCTCCTCCTCATCCTCCTCCTCCTCCTCCTCCACCAGGGCCTGGGCCTCGCGTCTGCTTGCAGCACGGCTAAAGTCGACCGCCTCGCGGGGTCAGCAAAGCCGCGAAGCGGGGCCACACGAGACACACACGAGACACATGCAGGGCCTCAGGGGGGGTCCAACCGCATGCACGGAGGAGGGCCACGCAGGGCCAGGGGTGCTGTTCAGAGGCCTCGAGAGGAGCCCGTCTCCGTCTCCGCAAGGGCGGCCGCTTCGAGGATGGATGGCGGCTGGCGTTCAGCATGTGGCGCCGCGCACATTCGCCTCGAACGTGTGCAGCAGCTTCGAGG